AAATAACGAGGGGGATAATTTTCTCCCACTGAGATCCACGAGCCACTCTTGTTTACAACGCTCTCCCTTCTTCCCTTGGGTACGTTTCGTTCGTTCGTTCTCTATTCGTGTAACGAGGTATCGCATTGTTTCCGCTTCCTTCTATCTACGTGATCGAAACATTGATCGACGATCACCGCGTGATTCGATTTACAATTTCGAAGGAAAAATATTGAAAAATATCAATCAATCGATATTCGAAAGGAGATTATAAATAAAGAGAATCGGCAAAAGATTATCGATCGATCGATCGAAAATCAACGAATCCGTCTGTTTTCTTCGATTCTCGAACAAGGGGCGGGGGGGGGGGGAGGCAAAGTAAAATCGATTCCGTCGACAACATCGTGGCAATTCGGAAGGGGGGGGAAAAAAAGATTTCCCATTCGGAGAAGGTAATTCGAAGGCAACGTGGAAGGAAATTAGAAAGAAAGAACGGGACGAACGCTTTGCAGAGGATGCTTTGCCGATAGATGCGGGAAAGGGAGCAACTGGCAAGTTTCACGATGCGCGGCGGCGCGATTCCCGAGGAAATGTCGAATTCTTCGAAGGCACGAAATCACTTTAGCGAAATAGGTGTACGGAATCGTCTTCACCGGATTACCAGAAAGCTCTTTTTCCTCGCTCTCCGCCTCCCTCTTTTACCGCCGCCCAGCCCACCCCCCTTTGGCCGCCGCTGCCTGCTCTCGCTACCTTCTTCTTCGAAACCGCCTTTTACCATCCCGAGAAGAACATTCCAAAGAGAGAGGGGGAGGAACCCTCTGCCGCTCTCCTTTTACGCCCGCCGCTCGACTCGCCGCAACTCCGCTCGGCCGTGAACCAACCCTTCCATCCATCCTCCCACCGTCTCTTCCCAAAAGAGTCGGCGATGAATCTCTCAAAGTTAACAACTTTTTCACGAAGCGAAAGGAGGAAGAGAGATTGATCCGTCGAGCGGATAGAGCAAGGAAATATGAGAAGAAACAGAGAGAGAGAGAGAGAGAGAGAGAGAGGAGGGGCGACACACGACGCGACGAGG